CTGTCACAATAAAGAAGGCAGTATTGTCTGTTAGCAAAGGCAGCTAGCAGGAACTGCAGGTTTTATTCTTAACTCTCCCAAGGATTTCAAGCTTGGCTGTGGGCAGATCACCAAATATCTCAGCTGATCATCTACAAAGTAAGGATAGAAATATTTTCCTATCCCAGCAGGATGTTTTCAGGAAAGTACTTGAGAGGCACTCAATGCAATGATGGAGGCCATGAAAGTGTGTGTACAGAACAAAGACAACACCTGCTTAACTAGCTTAATGGAAAAAAAGATGACTGAGACTATTATAAGGAATTACTGGCATTAAAGAAAAGGACAAACTGAAAATGTCTTCAGCTTACAGTTCAAAGTTAAAAAGAGAAAATCAGCATCAGTAAACGATTTTTTTATACAATTACTGTGGAAAAATTCTAAGTATAGGACTAGATATGAAAATCAATGCAAATAAACTACATAAATGGCTGGAGTTGCACATTAGAGAAGACATTTAAATTTTCCCCTATAGTAGGTAACACAGGTAATTCATGACAAAATATCATTTTGTGATTCTGTGATCACTTTGGTACCTTTGGCAAACAAGTGCATATATGATGGAGGTAACTGTATATCAGTTTTTCCTCCAGAATTGCAACAATTTTAGCTAAGCAAGACACTTTTAAAAAACACACGTACTTATTCTACTATGTCTCGTGACTCCATTTTATACACAGGCTTGAAGCTCTTCTCATACTCTTTATGGGAGATAATGATAGGTGACTCCTCCAGTACTTTTCTGTACACATCACTACGTACTTAGCATTTGAAGAATGCCATCTCAGCCTTGAGGATTTTTTCTGAACATTTTCTCTCACTTTATGCTGGGAAAATAGTAGCTCTACAAATATAGGAAAAGATTTAAGTACGGAATAAAATATGAAGTTTATGATTAAGGAAGTCTGAGGATCTAGTGTTTATTCCTAAATTAGTAAGAGACTTCCCTTGACCTTAACTTCTTCATTTAGATCTCTTATCTTTAAAAAAGCAATGGAATCCGTGGAGGATGCAGGAAAGCCCAGTTCCCATTTCCAAAACACATCAGCCCACACTTCTACAAGCTGACTAATGATGCTGAGCATGCACAAGTCTCTGGACCATCTCCTTTTCTCCCCATCGGAGTCTAAAGTGCTCAATTCTCATTGAAAGGTTTCAGATCCTAGGCTGCTTTGGATGCAGTGAAACATCAGACCAGTGTCAATTTACATAATTCCCAACAATACAGCATTACTGTTTGTAAGACCTTCCAGCTCTTCCTAGGAATTACACAGCATCAGACCCCTGGTAATAACTTTTGAATTCATTTACCAAACCAAGTTTGACAGAAGAATTAAGTATCACACGTGTGTCACACATTTAGTGACAACTGGTAGCAAGTAGAGCAGAGTGCCCAAATTAAGTGTCCTCAACAAGGGAAAGATCAAGTTATCTGATCTGCTCGGCTTGCCACTGAACAAACACAAACTGGGAGAATGGCAGCACATTCCTCCTCTTCCCAGAAAGGTAAGGGATGTAGAAGTGAGATTAAAGGGAACCCAGCAGAGAACAGCATGGAGAACTATGGGGGGACCATGCAGGGACCAGGGGATGCTGGTCAAGTATTAGCAACAGAGCACATGCAAATAAATCTCATCTTCCTGTTTACAATGGGAAGCTGAAGAAGCATAATTTTTTTTGCTGTCCTTATTTGTATAATACTTGCATGCTGTAAACATTTGTAAGCCATTAGCTAGAAACAACAGTACATGCTGTAAGAACAAAAGCAAGGTTTGTTACAGCCATGGGAATTCTCTCCAGTGAAACCAGAGAGAGGTAGGCGGGACAGGATCTCAGGGACCCTCTGAGGCATCACCAAGCAGGGGCAGGCTCACAAACATCCAGACAAAGCTGTAGCAGGTGACTGTCAAACCCTTCCTAAAAGGGCACTCAAGTTTGCTGAAATCCAAACTACAACTTTTTCTACAACCAGCACACAATTACACAACAAACAGTTCACTCATCTCAACCATTTACATACTTGAATATTGTTTAAAAAAACAAACCTGCCTGTCTCTTGTTTGCCTGAACAAATTATTTCTTCAAAGTTCTTCCCAACTCACACCTTCCAAATTTCTTAAGACCTCTGCTACTGTCCTATAACAAATGCCTCCCCCCCAACCTGTTTATTTTAAAATACAGGGCCCAAAACAGGAACAGTGGAGCCTAGAGGGAAGTGCTATTACAAATGACAGCAAAGCAATTTTCTTTTGATCTCTTACGGATGCTGTTAGCTCATTCAATTTGTAGTACACTATAAACCCTATAATACTTGTCTTCTTATTCCCTATTATGTTCTTCTAAACTGTAACAGTTCATATTCAGCTCTTAAATTGAATTAAAGATAATGGGAGCATAGATGCTGAGCACAATAGAAATCAGTAGCAGGGGGAAGGGAAAAACAAACCACAAGAACAATTTAAACACCCCAATCATTTTCATATTTTAAGAAGGAACTTTTTTTTAATAATGCAAACCTCAAATTTTACCTAGTTACATACATTCATTTCCATGATTTATACAATTATTGCATAAGACTTGTGGTCATTTACATCTTCCAGTACAAGTGACAGCAAGTACCACAATTTTGTATTAAATTCTGGTTACACTTTCAGTCAATTACACGTGTGAAACAAAACCCAGACCAAGACTATTCCCTTCAGAAAGCCTTCTTCATGTTTGTCCAGATGCAAAGACTGCATGACGGAGACATTTGTGATGTTTATAATAACCCCACACCAATTTGTGTTGCTTTGGTAGATTGTAGTGGAATGTAATGGCACAAAAAACAAACATACAAAAACCACCCACCACAGAAAACCAGCACTCAACCAACCTTAGGAGACAAAAAAAAGAGAAAATTAACTTGCAGACAGAAAAAAATTACTTGCAAACAGATAAGAACTGGTCACTTTCTTTTTGGCAAGGTAAAGCTACTTCTCCAAGTATTTAGTAAAGTAGAAAACAACAACAAAAAAAATTTCAGTAAAAAGGTAAAATAGAGTATTTAACCTCTGTTAGTAAGTGCCAATAAATTGGTAGCAGTGCTACATCATGCTAGAAGGAGCAGAAACCGTCTTGACATAAAACCATACTGAAATCTAGAAAAGCTGTGTGCTGATGCCTTTATCTACTTGCTATGATGTGTGTTCTAAGTGCATGACTGAAAGTAAGCATGGCAATGCCACTGAAACCAGTGCAAGTGAATTACTGGTTGGATTATTCTGGAGCAGAGACAAAAGACTGAACACAGAACAAGAGCACGCCTTAAGAGGCAAGATGATGAAAGTACAGAAAGATTGCTGGAGTGGCTCAGAGCTCAGTTCAGATTTGTTCTACACATGTAAGCTACAACACATATTTCCTTCCACAGCACAAGGAAAATATAAGCAAAAAATAAAGAAATAGACAAGAATCACCATGCAACCTCTAAACAGAGAGACAACAATGCAGAGATGATTTTTAGCTAAATGCACCATCATCCCAGGTATTTTCCTTTCCCTTCTGCAGGAAAAAGAAAAGATAAATGATAAAAAAAGAGGAGGAAAAGTATACAGGGTGACTGCTTGGCACTTTTAAAAAAAATGTTTTGTTATCTAAAAAAGGATCAAATAACTTATAAATAGTAGCAGTGTTTTATGGCCAATTACTTTCCTCAAGCCTGTGTCCATGCAGAGATGAGTGCAATAATGTCTGTTTTGGTGACAAATGTCTCAATGACAAGGCAGGACCCCAAAGGGTAGTTTCATTTTTACATATAAAAAAATAGTAGTTAGGATTGATTCTATTCTTCATAGTGATTTAGTACTTATGTGACAAAGATTCAAAAAACCCACCTTTTTTAGGGGAATACTAAGGGATAATGAAAAGCACGTGGACACAGCTTACTGTTAATTCCTCATGTTAGATTTGTTGACAAAATTATTTACCCAAAAAGTATTACCTAGGTGAAAGTCAGTGGTATACAGCATGTGATCATTAAGCTATAAAGGAATGTGATCTTGCAATACTGGTTGAGCACTTTCAGTTCCCACAGACTACAATGAAAATTTGAACTGCTAAGCACTTTGATTATCCCATTCAATTGTTTTTGCTCCCCCCTGCTTTAAGTGGGAGACTCGCAGTGATCAAGGTGATACGTTCCAGATGAAGTTAATTCCCCTCAGCTTTTTCATGGAATATGATACAGTGTAGAACAGGATTTGTGAGAAAGTAAAAGGATGAGGTTCACTAAAAAAGCAACATGCAAAGGAATAACTGCTCTCAAAGTTACCAGCACAACGCAACCAGCATCAAGAAAAAGAGAGGACGTGCGAAGTAGGCACTCCCTGTTACTAAGCTGAAATTGATTGTGTTCTCAAGTGATTAACTCCTGAAAATTTGGTAAGATATGCTGGTGTCACATTTCAATAAAAATAGTGTTTCAACTCTCACTACAAAAAGATTAAGGATTTTGTTCTGGTCCTGCCTAATCCATTCATGAATTGCAGGGCACAGCCCTTGCCACACTGGCCTACCAGAAAAGGCAGTTCCATTTTCTTGTGCTGAAAAAAGTAGCAGGCTTAGTGGTTACAAACTTCATGTTTTAAAGTGCACTGTCATTTTAAACACATTTTCCCTTAAAAAAAAAAAAAGAAAATAAAATATTCTGATACCAAGTTTATAAAAAAAACAGCTACAATATTCTTCTAAAATTGCAACGTAAAATCAAGTCAAATTAGCAGGATTCAAATCTTTTTCAAAAAAAGATATGACCCAAAAATAAAAATAAACCTCTTTCTGCAGAGAATTGCCAAGCAAAACCTCACATACTGTCCTAAAAGCCTCTCTCCCAACAGCACGTCACAGAAAATCCATTCAGTTTCTTCCAGCTGACAACCTCAAGAAAACAGAGGTCTAAATAAATCAGTCCTTCCCAGCAGTCACCTACATAACTGCAGGTGTGGATGCTGGTGCAGTTTTTCCATCAACTCTTCCTCTGTAGGTTCTTCCAAAACATCTCTACAAAGAAAAAGCACGAGTTGTTAGGGGCAGAATGGGGAACTTCTCAGCATTTGTTTTTGCAATGCACATACTGAGATGTAACGTGTGCTTGTTTCAAGAATGAAACAAGGAATTAAAGTTACAATGAGTTGATGCTCCCTAAAGATGCATCTACTTGCAAGTGATCCATCCTTTACAGATGTGTCATGGAAACCAGCAGCTGTTTTCCCATAAGAAGCAGGGAAGCAATTTCCTGCACACAGTACAATACAACTGAAGGTCAGTAAATTTGTTTTCCTGAAAAAAAAAACTCTCAAATGAGAACATGCTCCCAATGCTACTATTGAATATCCAATGAGCACCAGAAGTTCCACTTGTGCATGATCATCAAGTATCAACTCACCACCCACAATTTCACAGTAAGCCAAGAACATGCATCACTTTCCTCATCTTCCCTTTTCTTCTCCCTCCCAGCACAGTTTTCCCCTCGGCCCCCCACATCTCTTCTCCTACCATGCTATGGGCAGAAAGCACATAAAGGTTAGGCTACCAAATCAGCTTAAAGCAGGCCTAACTAAAGCATTTCAAGAATTTCTCCAAGCTAACAGATGAAACAGTTTGCTTCAGAGGGAGGAAATAGGGAGCAAGCCTTTTATCCTCTTGCAGCCAGTACATCTGTTTTAAAACAGATGAACATACAAAACTAAGATCAATTATCAAGCCTAGTTCAACTCACCTGAACATTAGTTCAACTGTCCTCTGGTATTCAACATCCGAGACAGGCTCTCGATGACAGCGACGGTCCCACTTGTGAATAAAGTTCTGGAACATAAAAGAAACAGGAAAAAAAATTAAAGGCTACTTCTAGTGACATCAGAAAAGAGATTATATCAGCATAATATGTCCAGGGTTTGGGAGTGGCGTGAAGTTTGTTTTTAACAAAGAGTGGCAGAGCAGCAATTTATTTAAGCATCAGCATATTTATTGGCTGCAGGTCACTACTTTATTCAACCTTGTTGTTCAGAAATGAAATAACTTTCTCAGCACACATTGAAAGAAGAGTAGAGCAGAAGACAGCCCTGCTGCCTTCTACTCCTAGCAAGGATTGCCTCCTCAAGATAACTGTGTGAACTCCCCACAACAGTTCACCTGCTTTGAATTTTTTCCTCTTTAAAAATCCAACAATATATAAACATACTCCTAGTCCAGGCATCAGAACTTAAACTCAGCTGCTGATTTTGCCATGCTCCCTTACCCATTTTGAATTACACCGACAAATCAATAGCTAGGGATTAGATAGACAGCTCAGGCAAAAAAAAAACAGGAGAAAGATAGTGAGATCCTGCTCTTCTGTTACCAAATGCTACATCTTGGCTCTTCCAGAAAAAATTGGCCACAGCCCTGCAGAAGTAAGCAGGTAGAAGAGTTCATAGGATCAGCCTCCAGCTAGAACAGAAAGTCTTTTCTAAAGCACTCATAGGCAAGACTGAGGCTCCGCATGAGACTCCCACCTAAATGTCTGTCTAAAAGTTTGCCATTCTGCCCACAATACAGTCAACAAGAGCATCACCAAAAGAAGTTTTCATAGGTTTTAAGATGGGGTGAAGTGCCCTCTACAGGTACTCAGTTTCTTCCATTACTTACAGGAGAAGTCTACAATGACTAATCTGGAGTAGCTGGCTATGATGAACGTTCCCTTCACACCATCAAAAATCCAAAAGGTATTTGTATTTGCAGAGAAGTACACATGCATGAGAAACCAGCAGAACATGTTCTCCATGGCACTGCTCAGTCACGTACATTTCCATAGCTTCTTTAAAAAACTCTAGAGGATGATCTCTTCAAAATAAGTAACCAGTTCCACTTGTCTAGTGTGGAACTGAATAAGGGTAATAATTCAATTTGGGGTAGGAAGAAACATAAGACAACCAAATTAAAAAATAAAAAATGTAAATTTTCAAGTGCTAACTTCATTTGCTGACAAATCAAAACGCAAAAAGCCTGCAGCTTGAATAACTAATGCTGAAGTTAAATGCTAATGTACAAGAGACAAGCAGTTTCATAACACTTAACATATTTTTCATCTTCATAGAGAGTGAGCTATAATAACACCCAGTAAAATGCAACCAGATTTGTGACAAAGTTGCAAATAAAATATACAACTGTCCAGGAAAAAGAAAATGCTTCTTCAACATCTCTGGGGGAAGAAGACAAGGAAAAAGATTAAGAACATACACATAAAGCCAACATACTTTCCCCCAAGAAGTTCTTGGAGTTCTTTTCATTTCCTACACAAATTAAAAGCTGTCTTCAGAATCTAATTACCAAAGAAACACTTCCTTACCTCCAGAAGTAAAGCTACGAAGAGATTAACCCAGATGACAGAGGAGATCAACCACCAGGCTACAAAATAGATCTTTGCCCACCTGCAGATCAGATTAACAGACAATAAGTAGGTAGTAAATAACCTCAGCCTGAAAGTGATCAAAGAGCCATGAAACCACATTTTTCCTTGAAAGATAATACTACTGTGTTCTTAACGTAAAAAGAGGTCTGGAACAAAAAAATAAAAATAAAATCTTAGCTTTTCATTAAGTTAGCCAAACAGACTCACTCCCCTCACTTAACATACCTAATTAAACTCTGAAGGGACAGAAAAACAGCCTAGTAGAAGCTGTACTGGACCACAGCAAAAGATCCACCTAGGCTAGTACCCTCTGAGAATGATCAAAATCAGAAGCACAGGTAAGAGTGCAAAAACATGGCAAAATACCCATGATGCTACCCTCTAAGTGCTCTCCCAGTCCCTAACCATTCGCAGTTCAGAGATTTCTTGAGCTAGAGGTAGCTTCCATTCATTGCAGATCCCAATGGATTTCCCTTCCGTGACTTGTCCAGTCTTCACCAGACCACGTTAAACATTTATCACACACAACAGCCTGTAGAAGAGCATTCTCAACTTAACTACATGTTGGGTTAACTAGCCAAGGATCACTGGAACAGCTCAACCCAGAGGCTATTCAGTTCATTCCCATAAAGCAATTAAATACAAATGAAAGATTATGTCCAAGGTTTTAAGTTTACAGAAAATTGTTCACTCAAAGGAAAATACAGAAGCAGCTCAAAGTGAATTACAGGATTCACTAATATCTCACTTCTGTGAGATTGTCTCTCTAGCAAGAGCCACCCACCCAATACATGTTGCAAGACTGTTTATAATCCACTTAAGTCATTCACTCTTTTTTGGAACAAGATGACTGCCAAGTTAGTTTCCAATCCCTTCTAAATGTGACCACAGATTTCATGGCATCCACCAAATACTAGACCAACCATCAAGTTACACAAGTTAAAGAACAGCCATGAAGTATCGAGTTTATTTCCTCTATAGTTGAATTGACCCAAAAGAAAGGTAAATGGCACCCTTCTCTCCAGATGGTAGGATGCTATGTGTATAATCCCTATTCAGTAACCTTATAAACTAGATTTATATGGGACTTTTTCAGTATCATTACTGCTACTTACGGACTGGAGTATCTTGAAAACGCTTCCAAAAAGACTTGCCAGTTGTTAACCACCATCACATCCCAGAGGGTCACCACTGCTGCCTAAATAACATGAATAAAACAAGCTGAGTGGCTATGTCACACACTTAGGCCTCAGAAAATGAGGGGAAGAGGCAAATAGAGAGGAAAAAAAAAGATGGACAGATTCCATCAACGATCAGACTCACAGCAAAGTCATCAAAGTTGTTTGGCCAATATTCCAGCTGTTCGTAGGTCCCACACTGCAAAGTGCCATTATCATATGTTGTATTGACAGCACTGCAAGAGAATTACAGGCTGATGTAAGCACAGCTTTCAACATACTACACCTTAAAAACAAGATTCTTCCGAGTGCCTTGTAGCAAGTATCTCATATGGTCAGTAAACAAGGGAAATACTTTTTTTTAACTACTTAAGCTACAGCAGGGTAAAGTTTCAAGCTACAGATAAGCATCCCTGCAATTTCAATACAGCAAGAAGAAACAGGAGTAACAGATGAAAAAAAGTCTGTGTGATTTAACATTAAAAGGGTGGCTCCAAGAATAAGAAGGAAAAAAAAAAAAACAAACCAAAGAAAACCACAAATCACCAACCACAAACAATCCAGAGGTACTGAGCTGCAGATGCTTTTGAAAAACAGATTCTTTCCGAGTAGTGACATTTAGAATGTTACCTGGTATTTCCCAAGGGAACAACAGCATCTTTAAATAGCATTATGCCAGTTATAGCAAATGCATAGAAAACCACCTGGAAGGAATATAAGGCAAGTATTAGTTCTGAATATTTCTGTTACTAAGAAAACAATGCAATTAACAGGGAATTCATATTAGTACCACAGCTAAAGGAATTTGGTCAAGAACAATGCCCAAAGCTATTAAAGTGAAAACATTTTTCAATGTCTGTATTACTTAACTGCTTGCTCTTACTTTTTAATACTCCATTTAACTTTCAGTTGTTAAAATGCATTAAATCATTTCACTTTATGATCTGTTTTACTTTTCTGTGTCTCAGAATGTTGACATTTAACTATTAACACAGCAGAATAGCGACTTAAACAACACCAAAAACCAGTACCTGTACTTACAAGGAATAATCTAAGTATCTGGGGAGCTTTCTGCTAGATTCAATGAAAATAAGCTTTTACTAAACTTAACTGAAGGACAAAACTAAGTCAGTATTTTATATTACACCAGCAACTTCTTTTAAAATGTTACAGTAGTCTAAAAATAGAGGTTTCACTAACACAAAGGACTCCTATCTTTTACTTGTCAGAAATGCAAACCTCTTTTAAAAAGCTATCTTTCACAGTCTTCAGTAGTTGCCTAGGTGATTTTGCAATTTTTATCCCAAAAAGATTGTTCTAGAAATAACCTACTACTTCATTCCTCTGAGTAAAGAGCCATTTGTCCTAGGATGGCTTGAAACAAGCTGAGTTTTCAGATGAAAACATCATTAGTCATATCTCTGTATTTTGTTACAAAACAGACCCAAGAAGGAAGGCTGGGAGGAGCAGAACTCTGACCTATGAACCACAGCACTTTGAACACTACTGGAATGAGCTGAAGCTGATGTTCCACAGCCTGCCAGAAGATGGGGTATCTGGCTTGGCAATAATAAAGTTAATTTTTTAATTTTAATTAAAATTAACTATTAATTTTAATAGTCTTTGAAAAAGATATATCTAGCTAATTTCTCAGGCAGTGCATATTTTAATCAGTTACCTTACTTTATCAGTACATGTTCCAGGCTAACATTAGGAAAAATGTTTCACATGAGCTGGTAATGGAGTCAGACTTCCCTACAGCAGAAGCTCAGTGACAGCTTCCACGTAGCCCCAAGTGAAAACAAATTAAATTAATGGAAGCAGCAATTACCAGGGCAGATTTGCCTCGAAATCAGTGCAAAACTACAATTCACACTCCTGGGATGAAGGACAATCAGCAGCAGACACTTAACCACTTCATGAGCATTACATCTAACATATATTGGGTAGGGACACCACATTGAAACACTAATGCATAATTCCTAAAAATAAAACCAAGCATGTTACTACAGGCTCCTGCCACCTTAGCAGCTTCACCAGAAACAGGTAAAATCAGCAAAACCAGAGTCAGCCTTTGGACAGCTTATTACACTGAGTAACAAACTGAGTAATGGGAAGTTTTTTATCATACCAAAGCTGCTCCCATCATATTCAAGATTAACATTTAGACTCCTAAATGTACCTTTCACCTGCAAAGGCTAACTTCCCAGTTCGTGCACTCCCAAGGTATTTCTTAGTTTCAAGAGTAGCTTCCAGTAGCAAGTGAGGCTTGTACAGCACAACAAAGGTGCTACCAACTTCGCTTTGCCCCAAACCAGTATCTTTATTTCAAATTGCAACATAAACCTTTCCAGACTGTAACTTAAGGCTTGTCCCCTAGAGATTGGTAATGACAATCTCTGGGTAAACTGCATGCTAAATATCCAGACTAGAACAACTTTTTAGACAATACCCAATACATTGCAAATCCTTGGTCTCTAACCATTACCTCAAATTAAGGTAGCCTAAGCAAAAAACAAAACAACAGCAAAAAAAACCCCAAAAAACACAAACAACAACAAAAAAGCCAGCCAGGCACTCACTTGCTGTACCAAGAAGACATCATTGCAAAGCTAGAAACTCAGGAGTTGGGAAACACAGGATTTATGTAATGGGCACCACACATTGTGATCCATCCTTTAATCACATGTTTGCAGAGTATATGCTCTACAGACACACCTAAAGCAGGATGGCAGAGGCTTTTAAAAATCATGTCCAAACATGCCATCTCAAGACCTTCTCAACTGAGAACAGATTTAAAGTTGTTTTGCTATTTACTTGAACATAAGCAAGCCAGGGTAAGGAAAAATAGGCTACTTTTAGCAGCAGATTAATTTTTATTTGAAACTAGAGTATCCAGCCTGAGGCAAAGACCCCGAGGAGTTTTAAATAATCTTTTAGAGGCACTCCTGAAGGAAACTGATAAATGAGGCACTGTCACTGCATGCAGTCCTTAACAAAACAGTAGTTTGTTGCAGCTTTGCAAGTCATGCCCTGGAGAACTGGCTGATTAAGGTGAGGTATTACTGTTAATTGTGACTGTCATTCCAAGAACCTGGTTTACTTTGTTGAAGACATAACCTTTATTATACTGCTAACTATATGAAAGGAAATTACAATCTTGCACCATGACTTACCACAAGGATTCCTGCAAAGGCTCTCAAGTTTTTTACCAGATCCAGCAATGTAGTAACAACCAAAGCCATGAACTGAAACAAAGCAGAATGTTATATGCATGACATTCATCACACTTCCAGTCCCTAAAGATTATTTTTTACTAAAAAGACAAAGAAATACCAACCAGGAAAGTGAGCTATATCTAAATGCAGGTCATCTCTTATACAGTGGTATTTCCATTAGGAACTATCCTTCAGACGAATGAACACCACTGTAGTTCCTTTCATGCACAGACATTACAGTAAGTTTTCAATACACACTGTGACTTAAAGGGCTTTATGCACAATAAAACCAGAATGGGGGGGCAGGCAGGGGGAGGGAAATCACAAGCACCCCACAGCTCCAGATTGACTGCTTCATATTTCATCCACATCATTTCTAGTTTACACTTCCCACTGACATTATGACCTCTCATTACATCAGGCAAATATTTACGGTTTATTGAACAAAGATACAAAAGTCCTGCACCTGACATTAATTTGGGCTTAGCTTTCAAGCAAGTCTAAACACAGGATTATAATAAATAATCAAACAATTCAAAGTGATTTCACATTCAAGTATCAGTAATTTGGTGGAAATATCCATACTTGGAAAGTGGAAAGGAGGATTTATTCCAAATAATCCTTTGTATGACCAAAATGTCTGGCAGTATCTAGTGAAAGCAAGTCTATCCCCTACTGAGTACCAAGGGAAATACTTTTTTTACTTAATTAGATGAGTGGATATCATATCCACTCATCTAATTAAGATTGAAACACTACACAAGTTGCACAAGTGTTTCTAGATGTGTTTGCCCCCTTTAGAACACCAGCACCAACTGCAGTGACATCAACAGAACTTTCCTGCCACCTCAACAGAGAAAAGCAGGCAAAGAGAGAATGAGTTTGTGAGGTGCTGTGCAACAGTCTGGACAGTCAGAGCCGAGTTATAATCCCTCAAGTGCAAGAGAATTGCAATCTACACGTTATTCTGAAAGGCTCTAACAAAATTTATAGTTTGACCAACAAAGAAATCAGAAGTGTGGAGGGGTAAACAAACACCTTCATGTTAGGAATAATCCGCAGGAACCTGAACACAATTAACATGTTCACCAATCGCACCATATCCCACAGGGATAACAAGCCCATGAACTCGGGTCTCCTACGAAAGATGGAAGAAAACAACAAATCAGAGAAACAGTCCACGACAGAAAGACACATTTAAATCTACTGGGTTGCAGGTAACTGCAAATTCCCCTTGGGTTTTGGTTAACATCCATGCCATACTAAAAAGTTTGGAGGGGGGAAAAAAAGAGAAGGAGTTTTATTTCCTCATGTAAAGTTGTCTTCAAGAAGACAGAAGCAAGGCTCTTTGGTGGTGCTTAGGAGGGTGCGGGAGACAGTAGGTACAAGCTGAAACAGTGGAGGCTCACACTAGATATAAGGAAGAACTTGTCAACCATCAGGACAGCATGACAGAGGCACAGGGTAGCCAGAGGTTGTGCAAGTCTCCATCGTTAGAGGTTTTCAAGTCACATCTGGATAAAACTTTGAGCAGGAGGCTGGACTAGAAGCCTCCTGAGGCCCCTTCCAGCCTGAATCATCTTATATAAAAATCTATAATCTGTAAAAGGAAGTGCATTCCTCAGCAGAAATCTCAGCTACAGTAAACTCTAATAACTGAGGAAGGAAGGAATCCATTTCACCTGGGTTCTTCAATATGCATCTTTAAAGTGCATTTTTGTTCTAAAATACCTGAGTAAGCGGCCTTCCTTCTGCTGGGGGGCGAAGCACCAAAGAGGGTCTTTCCAGAAAAGAAAGCAAACTAAAGATACTGCCATAGTGAGATGTTTCAGGGACTTGCACAGTGTTCATTAATCCTTCAGGGTGTGCTTGGTTGAAGTTAGGCTTCAAAGAAGGCACTTTCCCAACCTCCTTCCTTACACGTGTATTCCACAGGTGACACACATACACTCCAAATGGCAGCCTGAGGTTTAACTTTTACATTGGCATGTTGGATGCTGCTTTGCTGGAAAGGTGGGTAGGTGGTGGAGGATGAAAGATGTTAATGAAAATACCCCTTGGTAACACAGATGCTAAGTCATTATTTGTATCACCAATATAAGGGCAGTTAATGACAAAACAAGGGGAAATGGGTTTAAGCTGAAAGAGGGGAGGTTTAGATTAGATATTAGGAAGAAGTTCTTCACTGTGAGGGTGGTCAGACACTGGAACAGGTTGCCCAGGGAGGTTGTGGATGCCCCCTCCCTGGAAGTGTTCAAGGCCAGGTTGGATGAGGCTTTGAGCAACCTCGTCTAGTGGAAGGTGTCCCTGCTGATGGCAGGGGGGTTGGAACTGGATGAGCTTTAAGGTCCCTTCCAACCCAAACCATTCTATGACTCTATGATTCTATATTCAACTGTAATAATAAAATGAATTACTTAAGACAAAACTGCCCAGAATGCATATTCTAGATTAATAGCCACATCTTAGTCCTGTGCTGAAGGTGTCACATCTACAGACCAAACATTTACCAACGACACACACCATAAGCAGCATCAGGACTCAAAATGACTCATCTGGGTTATAATCTGTTTGCAGCGACTGACACAATAAAGATCTAACAAGTATCACTGGTGTTTCAAGATCCTATTGCAGTGCAAACAATCCTCTACATTCAAGATTCAAAGGGCAAAAATCAAACTCAAATATAATCAATTATAAGTTCGATCACTAGTTAATGCCATTAGATGATTAGCAATTAACATCCTTATGGCAGTCATGGCTTTTGAGTGATAGGAGTGCAAGAAGTGTTCAAAAATAAACTCATTTCTAGCTGTAACATCTTTCAGGTCTCTTTACAGATACTAGTGTAAATTAAGAAAACTTCTTGATTAAAGATAACAACTCCTGAAAAAATTAGGGAGAGCCAATGTCTTAAGAATAAGCTTGTGTAAAGAAACAAAGTATCAGAATGTGTTATTAATCACCCTTGAAAGTAAGATTCAGGAAATCTTCCAGAAATCCTTTGCTTTCCTCTTTTGTTGTGGTGGCAGGTTTCAAATTTTAAGAGACAAAACAATGATGTTTATTCTTTGATAATGAAAAAAAAGATCAAGAGAGAGATCCAAGATCTGCTTGAACTTAAGAAAAATCACAAAACAACTGCTTGCTATTATGGTATAGATGAATAGTTTCAGTCCATGGGAATTTTTCTACTAAATTTTACAGTACAAAACAAAATTCAGACTTCAATCTACATGCAGGGTTGAAGGGGCTTCATCAGCTGTTTAGCAATTCATATAATTGGGCTTATGGACAATCTGATACCGAAACATATTAGGTTAGTAACTGGTTGTGTACATTGCACCAAATTCCTTCCTACACCTTTAGTAAGCGTAGGTCTGCCAAGATACTATTTTACATCAGATTACAACGAACAGAAATGCATCCTTCTCAGACTAGCTAAACAGAACTCTTAATTTTATGACCAAAAAAATAAGAATTTTCTTTCACTTCTCCATATTGCATGGCCTGTAGTGACTACAAAGGTGAGAAATTCTACTAGGTTTGGTAAATTATGGACTGGGCTGACTATCATAGTGTCAAAGCACAAGCGTGTATGAACATGTGTGCATATTCCCCTGACCCACCCCAGCCACTGAGCAAAGGGCAGCAGTTCACAGAGATTACGTACCAACCAGGATGAGGAAATCCGTACACAGCAAACGTGGAAATCTCCAAAAGCTTTAGTTGAGGAAGGGGGGGAAAAAAAGAAAAAAAAAAAAGTCAAAATCTTACTTTGTAATTCTGTTTCAAAAAATTATCTAAGTTTCTCGACAAGAAACATTTTCAAGAGCTTTAAGTGACTAATTTAACTCACTTTAAAGCTCTGAAATTGTCATATTTGTCTAGGTATTCCCTAAATTAATCCAAGTACACACATAATCCAACAGTGACACATATGAGGATATACAACAAAATTACATAAACTGTGAATTTGACCTTATTTGCCATATAGGTTTCAGGTTTTTAACAAATAATTATAATAATCTTCTGCCACTTTTTTTTTTTTAATTCAGAAAGTGAATTTTAGCTACATAACAGAATTCCTCCAAGAGTCAAATGTTTTCAAACAACATTAAAAAGGTTGCTTATTAGAAAGCTCACCTTTTCCATCAATTTAACAAAGCCTACCTCCAGAAAGGAGACCCTAAGAGAACCATTGGCCACCAAAACATTCAGGACATTGAAAACCACAGCACTGGCTCATGCTATTTAACTCAGAATATTAGCACTGAATAAAAAGCAATTCCACTGGTTCTTGCAGTTCCTAATCATCCTAGTCAAACAAATCCAGGAGTTCACAAAAAAAACTTACCAGCAAAATTACAGTCAGAAGTCCATCAAATCTATTGCTTGGGTATGACAAGTATCTTTTCAAGCCCATTGCTAAGATTTTCAGCAACATTTCCAGCATATAGTATAGGATGAAGAAGCAGTTGATAGCCTTCACCACCAAAAACAATAATAACAATAATTAGAATTATTATTAGAATTATTCCTCAGGGAACAGTAATAACTGTAAGAATACTGTTGCAAGTCAAAAATAATAATAATAATAATTAGAATTACTGACACCTCAGGGAACAGTAATAACTGTAAGAATACTGTTGCATCTTACCCCCAAGAAGAAGTCATCTCTTTCAGAAGGCTGCTTATCTGCATCCATCACCAAAACCACCTTAAAAAACAAGAAATATTTTACAAATCAACTGCTTTACTGCTGCACATAGAAGGTTTTTAAGCACAAGAACAAAACAGAGTCTTTTATGCTTTGCACAGACCTTTTCAAGCAGCTCAGAATATATTTTTTAACTGCAGGTATTCTCTCCTAAGACTTTGCATGACTAGAGCATGCCAAACATGGACATCTGCTACAAAAAGTGGTTATCAGTGCAGAGACTAAAGAACAGAAACAGAACTGACCTATGCAGCAGGGGGAAACAAACAAAAAAACCCTAACAAGCAAAAAAACCCCCAAACAAACAAAAAAAAGACCCCAAACAAACAAAAAAAGACCCCAAACAAACAAAAAGGGTTTTACTTACACAGATAGAAACAATGTTTGCAAGGGCTACAACATTCCCCAAGTATCCGAAGTAGGGATGGCCAAAGGCAAACTGCATTTTCTGCATAAAATGCGACTGGTACTCTGGACTGGGAGGATGCTGAAAAGAACACAAAGGATTTGCTGAGACACAAAGCATAATAAAGCATTTTAATAATGATGCAGGAAAACACACTCAATCTCAGATTTAAGAAACAGACCTTTTCAAAGCAAAGCATTTCAAGGCCACATGCTAATTCTGACATTTCAGTAGGGAGATGCTTTCAAGTTCTGGCTATTAGAAGCAAGAGATCATTTCTGATTAGCAAATGGGTTGGCAATTATGGCATAACACAAGATAATGGCAAAGAAGGGAGATAATCCAAACTCTCTAACTCCTATTCATCATTTTCTTGTAATGAATCTTCCTATTAAACAAAGTATCTTCCTATTAAACAAAATACCTCATTTATTTTGTCTGGCCAAGTCACTTAAAAATGCTGACAGAACAAACCACCAGGCATTTTGTATATGTAACACTACGTGGCAATCCCAAACTAATGTGAAATCCCCAGAGCAATGCCATTTGTGACTATAATTGCAATCCACAAACAACTTAAAAATCAACGATGCTCGATCACGCCCCATGTTCAACAAGTTGTGGTTTGTTTCTATGCTTTATAGCAAAACACTATCACTTATTTTTGCACAAGACCACACTTGACTTATGACTTGATAAATGACCGTCAGATACATACTTGCTTAATGGCATCTTTGTCTAGTTCTTCAAAGAGCTTCTGAAACTGGGCAGCTGACAGCTGGTCACAGGAGCACATTTTGAGTGACTTCACATGAAAGAGAAACATTCAGATCAACATTCACAGCAAAATCCAATTTAAAAAAAAATATAGAGATTTTCAAATGGTGGATGGAAGCTGCTAGAGACAGCAACTCCAGACTACAGCAAGAAATGCTTTCCTTCCAGAGAGAAAGTAAAGCAAATGAAAAAATTAGCTCTGCAAAAAAAGATTTCATTACTTTACACCTCTCTACAGGTGAGTGCATTCTTCATCACACCAAAGAAGTAGCAACCTTAAGGTGAAATCATTGCCTAGACTATCTTTGTTCCAAAAAGCAAAACATGGACACTGAGCTGAGCCTCCCTTCCCACTCTTAAAGAAAGCTGAGCTGAAAGCTGCTTCTCCTAGATCAATAGTGCGATGGGACAGCTGTGGAATCATAAAATTTCCTTAATCAGAGGGTTTGACAGTCACCGACATAAAGACTAAGAAAATCTAGTTCTTACTCTCAAGATGGCTTGCTTGCAGCGAGAATCCATTTCAACTTTCTGCAGCACTTGTAGTAAGGCCCCAACACTGACATACGGCCTATTTAAAAGAAAATAGGATGGGCTCCAAAACAGGTAACTGTCTTGATCACAAAAACAGCCATTCCAAATGCATTCCTGCCTCCTCCTTTCTTTGAAAAGCAGATAAAATTAGAAGTAAAAATAAAAAGGAACAGACTCCGTAAGAGTCCCAAACTGCATGTTTTAAGCGTCCAATTAAAGAAAAATAAAAGAGATTAGCAACAAACTGCCATTTTTCAAGAAGGGACCCTCGGTAAATATATTAAAGAAAACAAGATGATCACAAATTTGCTCTTTTCTCATGGATAATCTACTGTTTCATCATTCTTCACTTACTGTTGTGCATTAGCAGGAGTGTCCTTCAGGGAAGACAGTACTTCAAACGCAGCCCGGATTCCCAGTCGCCTCCTGAAGAGGGAGGACTGAACTGATTTCTGGACAGTAAAAACACCACAGAGGAGAGACTATTTACTTACACTTGGTTCAAGGAAATCCAGCCAGATGATACAAATAAGACCTGTAAATTATTTGCCCAGCCCTTACACAGAACCTACTGCAAGCCTCAGAAAGGGCCATATCTATTCAACTAAAATAATTTTTCAGGAAGGCAAGGAAGGAAAGATGTTTTCTTTCTGCCACCAAAGTCCCAGTCATTAGCCACTAGATCTCGTTGTCCAGACACTGGATCCAACCACAGACACTCCACAGTTTAAAAGGAATACTGCAAAGAATCAGAGGTTGGAATCAGTGAAGCCCATTCCTACCAGAAGGATTTGGGCAAGATGAAGGCTACCCAGCTTCTCATGCAGTACTCTGTCCTATGGTCAGACAATACACTGATCCTCTGGCACACACCCCGAATTTGTGGCTACAGATCAGAACAGACTTCCCTAGGCCTCGCTCCCCTCAAGAACTCCCTGTACCAGAAGGAAGGAAACAAACAAACAAGTCTCAGGAGTTCAAGTAAACATCCAGGTCACAGCTTATTCTAATTCTGGATTGCATAGGCACGTGCCTGTGGCAACAGCAAAGCTCAAGTATTCACAGAAATTCCTACTACTGTGCAAAGAGGAGAGTTAGATAGCTTGGCCAACTCCAGCTTCTTGCCAAAAAGAAGAAAGGAAGAGTCACAGTTTTCCATGCTTCAATTTTTTTTCAGAGCAACCACTTTCAAACTCAGCTACTTTACCATGAGTCAGATTATGTCACGCTCTCAAATGAGAAAGAGGAAAATGGAGAAAGAAGGGAAGAAACAGATCAGGATGAAAGGAAAACCAAAATTCCTCTTTGCACATATTACATTTAAATACCTCCCTCCCATGAGAGGGTGGGGGCCATACTTTCTGTGTAATATTGCCCAAGGTTTACTATGGTAAAGAGGTGCAGAAGGTTAAGTTTGTTTCAAGGAAATCCAACCTTCTCTCTGCACTCTACTAGAGCAGCTATTATTTCACTTTTGCCCCCCAAAAATGCATACACTGAGGGCACACAACTGAATCCTTGGCCAGGCAGTCATCATTCAGAAGGGGAAGTGTCAGTCTCTTGCTCCTCGGGATAAGTTTTGATCTTGCTGAGGTGATCTTCAAACTGTTTGAGATTTTTTCCCTTGAGCTTTGTAATTTTCATGGTGAAACTTTCCAGTGTCCTCCTGTCAGTTGTGTGCCATCATATTAATACTTAGCCTAGCACTGTGTTAATTCTACTGATCTACTACGTGTGTTAACTGATAAGTAATTGTGATACACCTTGGATGTTCTGTATTCATTGTTGGAGACAAACCCAGCTCTGGACATTTCCAGCTGTACCCACAGCCTCTTCCTTCCACCTTCTATCCAGTCATTTATTTCTTTTTGGAACAGCAATAGGAAAGTCACAAATTTAACCTCTCGGATGAAGTACATTTTATTGGAAGTAACTGAGATGATTTTTCATTTGACTTACACTGTCCTTGCTTTCTGAAATACTTTTGCTCGTTACACTTCCTCCCAGACTGTTCAACTGCACTATCTCATACAGAAAACAAAAGCATTTCCACTAGCTAAGGGAATCCAGGCTACACTCCCAGCTGAAGACTAAACAACTGGGGTACAAAATGCAATGAAACGCACTGCACAGCTTGCACGCTGCCCACAACACACCTCATCATTCTAATGTCACACCCACTCACCGTGGGAAGGACGAAGTAAAAAACACCAAATGTGAAGATGTTTTAGTCACTTCTTTTTATTGAAGGCTTCTAATGCTGTGCTCCTCGGAGAAATTAAGTGCTAGGATTTGCAACAATACCTATTTAAATAGTACAGCAGGTTTTCATCACAGAGGCCAAGTTTTAGTTACTTGTTCACTTGTCCTTGTTCATTTTTATAATAGTTTGATTTTTTTTTTTTCCTAAAATAGTCAAAGTTGCAGATCTAAAGCACACATGGAAATATACAAGCAGGTAATTTTGTCACAGAAGAGGATCAAACTACAACAGCCTAAAGGGGAAAAATATCTACAACAAATAACCTTTAGTATTTTAACACCATATCTAAAACCAGGATGGGCATCCTGCTTTCATACACAGTCAAAACTTTTAATACTCTGGGCTTTGCAGTTTTAGGGTTATGGTAGAACATGGAAATTAGGAATGCTTTACTCACCAGAAGGTATCCTCGAAACTGATTGTATATTATTGCTGTAAGCAAGTTCATCAGAAACAAGTTGCCTGTTGGAGAAAAAAGAGGTAGTGAGAATTACTGAAATATATTTCTGTTTCTCAAAGAAGTTTCAATGTAAATAGTAAGTCAGATGTAAAATTTTAAACAGATTAGTTTTCTTGTGTCTGATTTCCAAAATGCTTGAATATGGTGTAATGTAGGAATTCCCCTATGATATGTTACTAAAAAAAAAACCAAATCATTCATAAGTGCCTTCCATGGAAATTAACTTGCAAGATACTACACAGTGACTGGAAGAAACACAAAAAAGGAGAAGTTTGTGATTAAACTTCCCTAGAAAAAGAAAACAGTCTGTAGCTGGTATGTCCAAGTGTCAAAGTTAAAGTGCATTCAAATTACTGAAGACGAGAGGTAACTTACCTAATACAGTGAAGAGTATGAAGAAGATTGAATATGCTCGATTCTTAGAATATGCAGGAATCATCACTGTGTCAGATGTAACAAAAAAGGAAATAAGAATTTAATGCTTAAGATGAAAACTGGAAACCTCTATCAATTTTTGGCAATTGGAAAAAGCTCTTGTATAGGTCAATTTCAGAGTTGCATATATAATTACACCAAGGGAAAGGCAAGAATCAAGTTCATAAAGGCATGAAAAATCTTTACACAACTTTCCTCTGGCTACACTAAGAGCTATCAGCCGAAAGAATAGTTCTAGGAGTCTGAAGATAATCTTACTCTCTTATTCTTTGAAAAGAGAGACAAAAGTTATTTCTGAAAGACTGCTCACCATCAGGATTATTTGCAGTAGTTAGCAGGACCAGCAGTGATGTCAGTGAATCTGGCAAATTCCGGAAATACCCCACCCACTCCTTATCCTGCTGGCCATCCTAGTCAGAGAGATGTTCATTGTTAAAGAAACACTGAAGAACCACCAAAACTGTCTTAGCAAGGAAGGGGAAATTAAGAGATAAACTTCGAAAATGAGTCAATAATCAATTTCTTACACAATCAAATCTGTGACATGAAAAAAAGCACAAGACAAGCATAAAAATTAAGACAATATATAGGAATACAGTGCAATCACTTATTAACAGTCACTAAAAAGCATAAGGAAGAAGAGCAAGTTGAGACAGACACAGGAGGGTCAAGACAAAACTTATGTCCAGCTAACATGTCAGACCCAGGCAGAACAATAATGTCACAAACAGACAATATAGGAATCTGAAGCCACCATTAATTGATATCAAAAGCATTACCTCTTAGCCTGCAAGAGATATTAGTGTATTAGAGCTAAAAGGACTCCAAGACTTGTCCAAAAGTATACTACTATTGAGGACAATATTAAAATTGATCTTATCTTTGCTAAAGAACTGAAACAAAACAGTTCCCTCAGTAATGAAGAGCTGCCTTAATAACTACCATGTCACAAAGGATCCTTCCCTATAGATGATGAGCTCCTCGCAAACACCTACAGCTCTACTGCCGTACTCACTGAGTGTGAAACGTGTCTCTCACTTTCCTTTTGACTTCTGAATAGAAAAGTTAATATCCTCTGGATTAGTTATTTGCACAAAAGTTACTGCTACTTGGAACAGAAGTTTTTCCTTTTCTCCAGTTATCCCCTTACATAGGAAGTTCTGTTTAATTGCAGTAAGATCTACAGAGAACACAGCCAGACAAGTTTTAGGTCTCTTTTCAATAACATATGTGAGGATGTACTTAAAATATAAGTACCAGGGAAGTCCTCATCTTATTTTAGAAGAACTAAATATTTACACAAATAAGTGCACACAATATAAAGCAATATGCTACAACCAGCATTACTAGACATTACAGGAGTTGATGGGCGGGTGGAAGACATGCAATTGTCCTGTGTTGAAAAGAATGAAGATTCAAATCGCTATGGATAGTATCAATGAAAATATCACATAGAACTTAAACATTTTGGGGGGCCTGGGGTGAAGATCAGTTCTACAACACCCCAAAAATATTTGCAAATATTTTGGTGACTACAATAATCAAAATTATTTGCAGCTTAGAGGAAACATGAGATGATCTGCTAAAACTCGGATGGTATCAGAATTTTCATCAAAAACACACTGGGAGGCTGATCTTGGATCATCCACGTATCTATTTTTTCCCCAAGTTCAAGTAGAGACAGCTAAAAAAAGGTGCAGAGTACAAACAATACAAACATGAATCATGCAGCACAGAACAGACAACCCTTAAATCTGCTGCAGACTAGGAAAATGTACCTCTAGAGGACACACAAAAGACAATGCAAAAATCTAGAGGCATGAATTTCATTACTAAATGTACTTTTAGAACTTGCTTTCACTATTTTGCCTTGTTAGATACAATTAGTTTCTAGGGGCATTAGACTAGCAAATCAAAAAGGAAAGAAAGACTGCTCTCTGATTTGTTATTTTTCACCTGAACATATACAAAATTGACTGGTTCAGGTATACAAGTTATATTCCCATTGCTGGGAAAGCTCATAACTGAAATTAGATGGGACAGAGATAATACAAAGATACAACATGCAACTAAACAGAAGGGGAAAGCAAAGCTCTGTTTCCAATTCCAGAAATCCTGTAACATGGGAATTCAAGGAATTTGCCAATCATAAGGAAGACCAGAGGCAGGCTCAAGTGCAAATTGCAGTAGAAATGAAGGTGCAAAACTGAGATTGAGAGGACTAAAATTACTGGGAGAAGTACGCAACAAATCTTTGTGCTCATGGGAACACGTTTATAGAAGGCCTTAAAAAGTAACGACAAAAAAAATTAAATCTGACTATGATACATTAAGATACAGGAAGTTTATGAAAGAGGGAACATACCAAGAGCACTGGAACACAAAAGTGATTTTGACCACAAAATTTCAAATTTGCTTTTGGAAGCAGGAAAAGAAAAGATAGGGGAAAAAGCCAGAGAGATCAGAAACTAAAACATTGGAGAAATGCAGGCAAAACCAGGCAGAAACCTATCAAGGCACAGCAGAGATACCAGTATTGGAAGATAAGAAAACAGAGAAGAAACTAAACTTAGCAAAAAGCTAGATAAGGAAAAGAGGAAAGAAATGAGTGATAATATAAACAAGACACAGAACAGCACAGAAGGTTTCAACAAAAGCAGAGAAAGTAACTCAAAGGATCAAACTGGAGAATTGTATAAGGAAGCCTCTTGTATAAACAGACTTTCAATTTCTCTCCTGTGATAATGGCATCAATACCAGTAATAATCAGAACCACAAACAAATAAAGACGTCAACCACATTTTAGTGTGGAATCATCTAACTTCGCCCTGAGCAGTGGAGTTAGACTAATAAAATATGCCACAGCTCACAGGAAGAGTGAAGGATTCCAGTTGTGGAGTAGGAAGGAGTGTTATCACTTAGGAAACAGAGCACAGTCTGGAAAAAATTCTTCACTAAAGGATGAAGTGATTTTAACACTATTTTGGGAGGCCTTCTAATGCACACTCACAGAAACAGCGCTATGCAGAGATACCACGCAGAGTTAAATCTCTCTAAACGGACTTTAAACTCATCCCAGTAGGTTCTGACAAGGTAACATGACCTTTTTGGGGGAAACAAGTTTCACCAGTTTGATTATAAAACTAGACACACAGCAACTATGCAAGTAACTTAAAAAACAAAAAGCAAAACCACACAAAACACCAAGATCTACTAAAGCATAAATATAATGGGTTACCTTTGTTCGAGCAAACAGCAGCATGGCAAACATGGTAAAGAGAGACAGGTGAACAGCCAGTAGCAGAACAACACTGTTGGAAAGAAAACAGATGGTATGCATGAATACCAGCTTTACCTTACTCACAGTATCCTCTGCTAAAAATGCAAAAGGATGCCATATAAAGAAAACTAGGGGGTATTTTTAAGAAGCTATATGGAGTTAACAGAAGATGATCTAAGTTTTGATTTCGAGTAACGATCACACTTGTTCAGGACTCCTCAGCACGAGTTTAGACAGTTGTGAGTTCAGTGAGATTCTAACACTTGTTTCTCTAAAGTTAGGACCATATTTATAGCCTCTGATCTAAATACATCGTCTCGGCTTACACACACCTTGGAATCTCCTGGGATGTGCTTGTTAAGAAGTAACAGGCAAGGCCAGTGACTTCTATAAGCTGTACATATACACTATCCCTATCACAGGAAGGAATCTCTTTCAAGAAGCATCATGTTGTCTGGTTACAATTTCACCAGTGGAGTTTCCAGTTCAACATTTCTAATGACAGTAAAATTTAGCACATATATGGCTAAAGCCATTTCAAAATGAGAAGCTGAAGCACAGTACTCTGCAGATGTAAATAAAAAGGTATCATGTATGGCACTCATGACTGGAAGACAAGTGCATGTGTGTCTGTCCATACTTCTGAGAGGCTACCTCGGAGAAACACGGCATAGAACTTTGGCCAGGTGATGCCTCAGTTCTTCCCTTACAAAATGGTTGTATGTAACATATATGGAATTAAAAAACCCCACTCAACTAGCATCAAAAATCTTATCTGTCACATACAGAGTCACATCACATGCTTTCTAGAAAAATTTTACAGACTAAAGGAACCAAAAAGTTAGTTCAACACTCCATCCATTGCTACCTGATCTCACCAACCACTTCACTAGATCATCAAGAAGGAAGCTACTCAGACGTCGCACTCCAAAATATTAATGGTAACTACATGCTTGCTGTAAGATTTTCTGTGCTGTCACCTACCTTGCCATTTCAGGCAATGTGCTGTTGATACTTTTTAATGTTTTCTTCATCATAGAAGAATTCTGAAGGAGAAAGAAAGGACGAAGAATTCTTCTTATTCTCATATTCTGCAAAAAAACCCCAAAACAACGGATCAGACACTGAGTTCCCATAAGACTAATGCCACAAATATTTTTCATACAAGTTTGTCAAAAGACACTGATACACTTATCAACAAAAAGAGTTTAACATAAAAAGGCTGTCCTCAGAAGCTAAATCTGTCCCACTGAAGTCATTAAGTGCACAAAATATTTCTCATTAAAAGAATGAGAGATTGCTTTACAAATGCACAGTGACATTTCAATAGCCTCATCAGGCCACTAATTATAAACAATCTCATTTTACTGCTGGGTAGACATAACAAGCAGGTCAAGAGATGGCATTTTCATAATTTCTGCCAAGGTCCATTTCAAGAAGGGAATTAATAGCAAGCTACTTTCAGTAAAAGCAGATACATGTTTTGAAAATAAGTGCTTGATTTCAATTTTCAGCCTTTTCCTTTTTATAATTAAAGGGCCTGCTAATTACTCAGCCTTTTCTGCTTCTGACAAGACTCAAACAGGTGATTGCCTTTATTTTCTTTAACATACACTGAAGCAATTAAGCTGTTTGATTCTTGCATTCAAGACACTTGTCAGCCTTCGAGTTATTTTTGTGACTTATCAGCTACTTTAAGTATTTCTCCTGCATTTTAGAATCAGTCTTCTCAGGGTCACACATTTTTGCTTCATTCACTTCCCAGCATTTTTACTATAACAGTATTTTTTTAATGATGATTGTAAGTGAACAACTAATTTCATGCAGATTTATGTCATGGCAGAAAAAAACAAATGGGAGATTGCATTATTATATAAAGGAGTTACATTGTGAAATTCCCCACAACTAAGTTGCTGATTGCTTCTGCAGAAAGCAGTTCTTACCTCTGTGCAGAAAAAGCTCAGCGATACAACCCAATCAGTCAGGGAAACAATTAATGTCAGTATATAAGCCATTAGCCATTTATTTTTCCAAAATTCTTCCCATCCAATTAAATAACTCTGGGGAGGTAAAAAAAAAAACAACACACAACTTATTTTAATAGTAAATTCCAATACCCTAATAAGTCAGCACCAATTGTTTTCCAAGTATTTGTAATTTTACATCAGCGCTCATAAAGAGCTCCCTGAAACCCAAACAAAAATGCAATGATCAGAGAATTTTCTACAAGAACTAAATAAAGGTCTGTAAAAGTGATAGGTGCACACAAGCCATGTGAGAGGAATCTTTGAATGAAGAAAAAAAAAAAGTTCATTTAATAAGCATAAAAATAGATTTTCCAGAAACAAATATCCAAAGAAAAGTTCAGTTTCTAACTACTTCTATTTTATTTTGTTTAAATTAACTGACATATATTTGATTTATTATATACTCCAGTTATTATGGCCTAATACTGGAACAGGCTGCCCAGGGAGGTTGTGGAGTCTTCTCCTCTGGAGACATTCAAAACCCACCTGGACACCTTCCTATGTGATCTCATTTAGGTTCCTGCTCTGGCAGGGGGGTTGGACTAGATGATCTTTTGAGGTCCCTTCCAATCCCCAACATTCTATGATTCTGTAATACAAGTAGGTAAGCTAAATTCATTGTGTTCTTAGTGAAATTTATTTTACTTATTCCACACAGAGTTTATATTTCTTAGGTTTAAAAAAAAAACAAAAAAACAGTAAGTTTTTTTTTTTTCATTCAGAAAATATGCACTTCCTAAGTTGTCCTGAAAGTGAGGCTTTAGTATAGCAAAGCAATCTCATTATGCAAATACAAGATTTGAATAACAGCTCTAAGACATTTCCCCAAAATATAAAATGGAGAGAAGCCACACTGACTACACCTACTGAGCTCTCCAACACAGCTAGCATTTCATTCCATACCAGATGGATGTGATGCTCACCTTCACGGACACATCAACCACGAAGACAAGAAAGCAAAGCAGCTCAATGCTTTCTGTGAGGCCACAGGGAGGATTCCACGCAGGAAGGCGGTATCGTACATCTGACGTGACAGTAAGCGAAGAAGGTTTTTCAATGAAAGCCAAAGCCAGGATTATAGTAATGGTTAAGCTCAAAATCCTGTTTGGATAGAGATGAAATTAAAAAAAAAACAAACCAAAACAAACAAACAACACAAAACGAAAAAAACTAACCCCAAAAAACACCAAACCCACAAAATGAGTCATAAGAATAACAAAATACTTACAGTTCTCTTAGAAGTAAACGAAGATTTAGAACGTATTTATCACAAACAGGTTAGACCACAATACAACACTCCATTAGCATGCTGTTGTGTGCATTAGACCAATGTAACTGCTGACCACCAAATAACCTTAGTGGTGGTGTTTTGAAACTAACATCAGCAAACAATCTTGCTACTATTGAACAAGTTTAGAAATAGACACTTGGAAACCTCTAACACACAGTGCTGTAAATCATGCCAACAGCCCATTCACACAGCAGTCCTATGGCTGTTCTAAAGAGCTCTGGACATGGTCACACTTTCATATATCTTTTTGCTTCCCAGTTCTATCATGTTCACTCGTACTGAATCCACTTGCTTCCTACAGTGAGTTCTTATAAGGACAAAAGCACAATTATGTAATTATTTAACAAAAAAAAAAAAAAAGATGAAGAATCATTTTTTTTATAAAGACTTACTCATAAACAAAAATGCAAAAACAAACACCAAGTTCTTACCACTGGCAAGTCCTTGAGTAGTACCATCGATAAAGCCACAGGGATCTGGAGTCCACACGGTGATTTATAGACCGATACTGAAGGCAGAAAGCAAAAATTCAAACATTACATTCAGTCTGTCTCAAAGACAAAGATCAAGTTACCAAAATTAACCAAGTTCTCATCAACAAAGTTCAAGTCTTGAGATAATTCCAGTTTCACAATAAGATAAAGAAATTATTGTACAAATTATTAATTATTAAAGTGCCAGTCACCAGTGACCATAGCTGTAGCCTCCATGCATGCAATGGGAAATATTTTAATTAAGTTTTCCTCATCTAAAGACTACACAGTTGCTCAGATAACCAAACTGTGTGGCAGTGATCTGAAGCAAGTGTTGTCATTATCACAAACAACAGCATCTGTAACAACTCAGTGCCTATTCCATCTCTTGCTAAAACAGTCCACCTATTTAGTACACCTTTCTAGCATTCACTCTATTCATGGATCTTTTGTCTTTCTCTTCCAAAAAGCCATAAGATGCAAACAATTTAATTCTGAATATGAGACCTCAACCCATGTTTTTAAACAAAATGTGCTTTAAGTTCAAGGCAGTACCTGTGATTCTTCAGAACAGGTCTGCTTTTGCTGAAATCTGCTTGGCCCCTCTTCAGAGGCTGCTCCTGGGTTGCTGTTACTCTGCCTCTGCTGAGGAGTATCTGCTTCCAGATACTTTAAGTATATCTGATCCCCAGAAATCTCCAATTCAAAAGCTATCTGAATGCAGCAAGAGAGCTCAAGAATTGCCCTCCAGCATTCTCGCTGCCTGCAACTAATAACTAGGAGATAACAGGATCTAGAAATATGCAGTAATGGCCAGTAAAGGAGAGGCAAAGAGAAAATACTTTCAAAGGTACTAAGTTCAGCTGAAGCAAGAGTTCCAGCTTCTCATTGAAGCCAGCCTTAAACTCTACCAGTTCTTAAGCCATGCAAGCAGTCAGATTTAGAGGCAAATTACAGGGTTTGCTCAGATAGTTTCTCTCAGCAGTAAGGCCAGTCACTCTTAAAAAAAAAAACCAAAAAAACAAAAAACAAACCAACAAACAAACCCAAAACCAAAATCCACCCACAAACCAGCATCTCTTTTGACAAGCATGAAGAGAAGCCACTATCCATTTCATTGTGTGGAAAAACACATTCCTCCCAGGCAGAAAGAAGTTCACTGAAACTTGCATACATAAGAATTTATAATTCTGATTTTGCTTTGTAAATCATGACAATGTTATGTGGAAGTTGCCTGAACACATAAAAACTTAAAAGCTAGCAGAACGTGTGACAAATCTCCAGCATGGGAAGCATAATAGCTAAGAAACAAGTTTATTTACCTGTATTGCATCTTCAATAAATACTACGGCTTGGTTTATATAAAGGTCATTATCAGCTCCAGTTCCTAGGAAGTTAAAAAGAAATAAGAATCTTTTGCTGTATTTTGGATAAAGCTTACTGCTTGCTGATTAGTTAACAGAAGCTCCACAACTGTGGTTCTCGTGATAAAGGGCACTGTACACACACAAAAAGTAAAGAGACAGCTCCTGACACATTTGCTCAGTCAGCAGCATCATGCATTAAATTAAATAATAATCATCTCAAACACATCATGCATCTGCCTGTATTTTGTGAAAAAGTTCTCCCTTGTATATAGCTTAAGTGGCTAGATTAGACTAGTCGTTAAATATCCATCACAATACTGGAATAGTTCAATTCAGAGACAAGTCCCAAGTAACATGCATAATAATGGAGCTTCAACCAAATTATTCTTTGACAAAGTGTACAGTCAAGTGAAGCTGGAAAAACTAGACACTAGTTATTCCAGGCATTTTTACTTTTGTTTAATAAGGGTGTTACGGTTTAGATTGATCTCATTCTCTTCAAAACCAACTGAAATCTCCAGTCAGACAAGAACAAAATTAAGTCCTTTTTTAATTTGTCCCGAGTTATTATTACTATATCAAGTAGCTCAGAGTTCAAGACATCGAAAGGGGTAAAAGTACACAAAATGAAATAAAATATCCCCAAATTAGTGTAACATTTCAAAACTTACTACGAAGAGGTCCATATGAAGATAAATACATAAAGAATAAAGGGCAATCACTCAAAGGTGCTTGAATTAGCACCTTTGAGTAACTAACCTGGTAATTAAGGAGATAAAGGCAGTTAAGGCCAAAATAAGGAAAAAAAAAAAAAAGGGGAAGGGGGAAAAAAAAAAAGAGAGAAAGCTGACAGGGCTAGAGATATGAAAAATATGTGCTACTGTAGCCTTCCCACGGAGGGGAAGGGGCCCAAGGAGCCCTTCATACCACCCCCTCCCAGGAGATGCAATCCCAGCGCACGGGATACAATGAGATTGAGTCAGTCCCAGCGCTGGCACAAGGTTCTCCAGGCTCCAAGAAATGCCAGAAGCACCATTGATCTGACTCCCAGACAATTTGACGTTCCACATGATTCAGCGGCATCAATTTTCTACAAAGACTGCAAACAGTTTTTAAATGTCACTGTTTATCTCAGCAAAAGCAACAACACAGTTCTGTACTGACTCCGATATTAACCGTGGCGTAAGACTGAGCACAAACAGGAGACAAGCTCAGCTCACGAAATAAAGATCTTATCTTTGTCAAGACATGACAAAATATAGAGATAAAGATAAAGCTGTTTAAAGGCACAGTATTAGTTAAAAGGATAGCAAAGACAGTAAAAGCTTGAGGTTCTTGGAGCACATAGCAAGCCGAGCATCGATCCCAATGATTTCTGGAAGGGCAGAATCAAAGCAACGGTTCTTAATACAAAACAAAACCAAGGAAATTACCAAGAAATGTTTATTTTAGTAATTTCAGTTTTGTTGGGGTTTTTTTTAAGAAAAAACCCACATTTTCCATGCATGCTACTGAGGATATGCAATTTATTCTACAACTCTTAGTCACAGCAAGTGACATTTAGTCACAAGTGATGATTAAAGTGCTGCTCGGTGTGGGTGCGGAGGATCTCAGACCTCACTGCACTTTTGACATCAAACAAAAGAGAAGGTTCACTAAAGTGATGTGACAGCCTGAAAACAGAGAACCTGAGGTCTGCAAAGGAGTCTGTCCAGGGGGAATTGAGAAGTCAGACCTCTGACATGTACTGTTAGAGGAAAAAAAAACTTGTCAGCACCTTAAAAAATAGAAAAATTAAGAAAGAACCAAACAAACAAACAAAAAAATCAAGCCTCGGGCTGAAGCAGCGCAGGGCTCGCACCCAAGGTCAGTGATAGCGGCTCCGTCTGTTCAACCAGCCCGGCGGGTCCCGCAGAGCCGTCCCAGGCGGAGCAGCTACCGTCG